TTTTTTTTTTTTAGTAATTGCAGTAAAGAACTTCTTAACATATGCAAAATTTACATTTGGTTAAAGAATATTTTAATTTTATTTATTAAAATATATATTAATTCTTTTGCAGGATACGCTTACAAAGTATGTAATTCAGATGGAACGTGGTACAGACATCCAGTAACTAACAAAACATGGTCCAATTATACCACGTGTGTCGATCGCGAAGATCTTTTAGTAAGTCACAACAATACTTAGATTTAATTTGGTGTAAACGATTATTTTTACATACGGGGGGTGGCCCGAAAGTCAATTAACTTTAACTAAATTTTGGGTCCTTTTTTAACCTATTATATATATATATATATATATATAAAAGTAAAGTTTCTACTTAATAAGTTCGCAATTTTGATTTCTATATTTAGTACAAAATTACGACTTACAACTGTCAAAAGGATTATATTGACGTTTAAATTGTTCAAGATCATAAAGTGGATTAATCGAGCAATATCTGATGACTTTTGAAATTTATCATTTAATTTAACTTCAGGATAATTGAATCGATAAAACTGGAAAATGATTTGAGTTATTGAAGGATGTGAAGAGGAAGATATAGGAAATATATATATAGTGATGTAATTATTTTTAATTGTTCAATAAAGAGAATTTCAGCAGAAATGGCTATCTGAAAAGTGAGTAAGTGGAGTTAAAGAAATCTTCCATGAAGCAAGAATCTGAAATATTTATTAATGTCTTTGATATCAATGAATTATGTCAATATGTTATATTGAAACAAGTATTCGTGTCAATATATATCACATTGTGTTGAGTAGAAGAATGAGTGGAATTGTTTAAATTCTGTAATTTATTAATCCTTGAAATTAGAAAAAGAAATTATGAAAATTTTTTTGAAGTTTATTGATTCTTTTGGTTTGTTCGATTGGTTGGGATAGTACACAATTTTTATGTAAATTTGACTTTATTCTTTAGATTCTTTCAGTGTAAAGTTGACGTAGTGACCTCAAATTGTGCGCTATTCTAACCAATCAAACAGACATTTTGTTGATGATTAGTATTCTCATCATATTATCTAATTACTTTCTCAATCTATGAAATTCGCCAAGATTAAAACTTTTTAATTTATTTGTTTTTATTAATTTTAATATTTTATTTTTCAGTTAAAGATTCTTTTAATTATATCTGATGAGAATAATTATTTTATTTTACAGGCATACAAGAAATACACAAAAGAGCACAAAAATCATAATAATAAAAAATTGCCTCATTTAAATTTCACAAGGGATCAATTATTTTTTATAGCATATGCATATGTAAGTAATATATCCTATTATAAAAACGTAAGGTAAATCCAGTGAAACTTGGATAATTCGGTTCTTTTAATTCGAAGTAAAATTGTGAGAAGTTTACGAAAAATCACTTGTAATATTTAAATAAAATGTATGTTTAGGCACTAATGTGGGTAATGTTGATTGGGAAATTTCAGAGTACAGCATTTAGCGCTTTTCTCAGTTTAAACTTACATAAAAATTTGCTTTATAGCTTTAACTTTCTGCCGAAGGACAGGAAAACGAAACTGAAGCTCTTGAGAAATTCACATTAACAAGAAAATACATTTAAAAACAATTCAATATTTCAAGCTTTTATAAAAAACCATGAAAAAGGTACTGCTGCATGAAACATTATATACACTGTATCTCTATATAAGAGCTATATTATATAGCTGTATAAGAGCTACATTATACACAGTAGCTCTATATAAGAGCTACTGTGTATAATGTAATACAGTATTTATGCTGTATTTTAGCCTAAATGTAAAAAAATACTGTAGTAAATTGTATGTTACTTACTTTTACAGTATTGCATTTTATTTGCATGCCAATATTCAAACTTGCCTAATTTGAATTTTTTTGTGGTCCTTCAACTTCGAATTATCCGAGTTTTGATGTATTTTATTAATAATTGTACAGCTTTTGCATTAAATCTATTATAAATGTTACAAATTTTAAAGTACCTTTATAAAGTATAATTAGATGATGATAGAGGAAAAACTTTTAAAAATTTATATGAGTACACACGATCTGCCCAGTCCTTATAATATATGTAATAAAAGATGTACCACATAACTACATCTTAACCGCATAATTAAAATTGAAGCTTAATGAACAAATCTTCAGTTTAAATAGTAGCACAAATAATTACATTTAACTTTTATTAATTAAAATTCTGTAATTATTTCCAATTCTTAGAATAGAACAATCTAGCAATAGAGAAAAATTAATAATTTAATTTTATAATAATCTTATATTCATTTATTTGTTACATTTCTTATGAAAATATTTTAAGTAACAAAATTATATAATATCTATCGATATTTTCAAATGTATTTACTATAAATATATTATATATTTTTGACAAAGTAGACTAATAATAAAATAATTATTATATACTACACTATATGTAGTTAAGTAGTTAAGTTTTGAAATTATAGGTTTGGTGTTCGAATGAGTACGAAGATGTTTTTGAGCATATGATTCAGTACGACCCTCATTGCCCATCAAAATATAGGTAAGATGCAACAAAAATAATTTTTTATAACGAATTTTAAAAAATTCAAGCTTAAAAGAATGATCTTAATTAAACTTTTAGGGTGTTGGGTACACTCTCCAACAATAAGGACTTTCATGAAGCCTTTAACTGTACTCAAGGGAAGAAAATGTATAGAGATGAAAAGTGCCTACTTTGGTGAAGAAACAAAACCTATTTGTTTTTCTGTATATGTTGCTCATTTAAAATTAAAGTTTAATTTTTTTTCATTTGAACATCATTCTATATACTTATATTTATGTTTATAATTATTATATGTCAGAGGATGAGTATTTTAACAATAAACAGAAATATAAATATGAGGATTGACTGATAAATAAGATTTCCATTTTTATAACATTAGTTTGGGAAATGGTAGAATAATGTAAAAAGTATTAAAAATAATTTATTTCAAACACATTTATTCTTTTTTCAAACTTAATTGTGATTTAAAATGAAATTTTTTAACCGTTCTAATGTTTGAAAAAACGTTTTCCGAACGTTCCAAAAAAAAAAGAAAAGAAAGAAAGAAATAGAAAAGTGGCATCGGAAATTGATGAATTATCATGAATTTTTTCAGCAAGTGGGCGAAGCGAGTGACCATATAACCACGGAATTAAAACGTTTATCGTGGGACATTAAAAAAATCATGATGTTCGACCGATTCGAAAAAAAGAATATTTGTTTGATTTTCGTTATGAATTTTATGACAACTGAAAATCTATAAAATAAATTTTTATTACACAATATATAATATAATAATTTACTTTAAAGATTTTAATTAAGAATATTGTATTATATTCATAACTTTATAACATTTACAATATAAATTTTTTTAAAAATTCTTTATATATTCTTGATAATTACTTTTTGTAGGCATAAATAGATCATATTTTAGTTAATGTATGAGTATATTTTTTTAAACGGATGAACAGTTTAACGCTATTTAACAGCTTCCTCATTAATAATACCTTGTATATACGTTTGTAACATATGCGTTTTACTCTAAACAGTCTGTGTTACTGATACGTTTTACTTACTATTAATTTTTGTGTAATATTTTACAAATAATCTAATAAAATTTTGTTACTTGTAATAAATAAATAAATATTAAAGCTTAGTAAAAGTGATATTTCTGAAACAGGATAAATAATTTACACTAAAATTTTTAATAATCGATTGGTTGATCCGTGTACGCACATAGCACCAGTATCGAATCATAGCAAACTTGAGCTTATATGGCAATTACTAAAGAACTTTTACAATTTTTTTCTTTACAATACTAAAGAACTCCTTAACAAGATCCGCTTCAGCAGGATGCAGGAGCATCTGCTTCCGGGCAATCAAAGAAAAACTTTTGTTTGTGGACTGTAGAGTCCTATATTTGGGAAAACTGATCAGAGACTGCGTTTATGATTCGACAACAGAAAGTCGGACACAGCACTATCAAATGCCGAGAAAGACTATCAAAGAAACTGCTTTAATATAATTGTGACAAATGGGGAGCATCGTTAAGAAAAATATCAGTTTAAAAAATCAAAAGGTTTTTGTGTATCTTTTTCGATCCTTTGTATTCTTTGGCAATTTAGAAAAACTGAAGAAAATGGATAAGGAAATATTGCTTAAAAACAGGAAAATAAATTGACTAACGAAGACATAACAAAGTTGTAAAGAAAACGTTCCTTAACCGAATTTAGCCTAATTTTAATTTTAATTTGTCAAAAAAAAGTTTTCGCAAAAAGTAGGTAATAAGGTTATTTGGAATCTTTGAATTATCATTTGTTTAAAGAATTTCTCATTACAGCAGGTTTTTATTTAAAAAAATAAGAATTCGAAAACTCTCGTGATCGACTTTGCTTATTTTCTTGTCACAAATTAAACCAGGGATGTTGAACAGATGCTGTCAATACGCAGTTTTTTAATTTATTTATTCGAATTTCAAAACGTGTTTTAAAAAATTATGATAGAAAATAAGGTTTATCATATAACTGCAATCGCCGTACATTTATTTAAAAAAGATACTTATTAATTCTTTAAATATTTCTAACTTTTGAGGTAGCCTTTCTTATTGTGCACTTCCTAATCCGTCACTGCATCTGTAGCGTATGGGCGTTATTGCATGTATTCGTAGTATTTGAATTTATATATACTGTATATATATTTTTATCAACCCAGTAGTCGAGTATTTGCGGATAATATTCGCCCATACCTAATTACTTTTTCAAGAATAATTTAATTTTTACTATATCTCTCATTTGAATATATGTAATACAGTATTTTAATGAATTAAACTATTATTTGGAATACTCTTCCTTAAATACGAAAATTGTTTCGATAAAGATTTTTTTACACTTACTATTAGCGAAATCTCGATATATAGGTTTTGGAAAATTTTAATTAAATTGCTTAAGTCACTCAAGATCAAACGATATATAGACCTATAGAGAAATTTTTCTTTTGTCTACAAGAATGGGAATATATGATACGTGATACAGTTACACAGGGTTTGGCATACAGAATTTTTCATGTTTTGAAACAGATTATAATTTAAATGAGATAAACCTAGTTAATTTTTTTTAGTGTAGTAAATCCATATTATATTTTTCTCGATAAATTTCAGACCTCATAGAATAACATTTTACTTTATATAAGGCTAAGCAATTATCTGGTTTGCGACGATTGGATGGCCTAGCAGTTAAGCTGAAAGCCTATCGTTTTTAGAAACCCGGGATCGAACCCAGAGGGGTCAAATAACCCCAAGAATCTTTCAGAGGTTGTCCGTCTTGAGTATGTCAAGACCAGTCCCTCATTGTGAATTTAGCCGAATCCAAAGTGAGCTTCCTTAGCATGAAAATAAAGCAAAAAAAAAAAAAAAAAAATTATGGATCAAATTTTCATATTTCCATTCAGCAATTATTGGAAAATGGACAAAAGTTTATACTGTTTGTTAAAATTTGAATAATAATTTATAACATAATCTTTTTAAAATAAAATATTTGTGTCTCCATTCTTATGCGTTGCATTTGATTTATATCAAATTTGTCGTTTCTTCATATTGTAATTCATTTAATATTGAATATTTTCAGAAGTTCATATACAGTAAATAATATGCATTCTGAAGAAATAATTTTAAGTGAACAACACAAGGCGGCTGTCATTTAATCGTGAGTGAAGAGTTAGTGCGCCATGTTACCACTAGTAGTTCTGTATTGACACGATAAGGAAATATAAGCATTTCAGTTTAATGAAAACTGTTCACGGTGATATAAAAACGAAATTAAAGTAACTGCATTTGGTCAAAGTTGGTCAAAATTAGAACAAGCACATTGTATTTACACCTTAATATCAGAAAAGATGGGTATTTAGATGACATTTAAATTACTGTTTCTAGAAGTAATTTTATATAATTAAAAAACAAGTGAGGTCACTGTACATTGTAACGTGGATCTAATGAATTAATTGCCAAAAGCAACTATTTAGTTTGCAGCTTCAACATTCAACTGATACTTAATCCGATCAAGAACGTTGTGCTAGAACTCTATTAGTTTACTTCAAATTGTTTTTCTGTTTAACTTAATTAAATTACTTAAAATCAACTGCACATTTGTGAAATTAAAACACCATTTAATGGAGAAAACTTTTGGGGAATCTTGATTTCCAGAGATATTTGAATTTAAAACTTATAACCTTATATTAATATTGCTATAATAAGTGGTAACTCTTACACTCGGACTCTCCATACGATTCAGCTAGTAAACTGACTGAAAATGAGCTCTAAAATAATGTTCTTACTAAAGGAACACATTTCATTCATCAAAACTCAAGTGGCACTTGAAAGGAATCTGTAAAGAGTCACAAAGGACTTGTTAAAGCTTATGGTGACACGGCAATTCCATATCCAGCAGTAGTCCGGTAGTGTTCATCGTCCTTTATAGACGACGAAGGGTGCGTTAAAAACTCCTGCGGAGTGCGTTCCTATATTCCGGGCGGATGGCAAAAACGGCCGCTTGTAGTAGTAGTTTACGATGGAAAGCAACATGGCATCTTCCATACCTCAGATAGTTTCGTTTCGGGGTCCATTATGTGGTTTTATGAATGAAAGTTTAGCAGTTGAGAAAGCACAAGTTAGTGAACGCGGTGATGTAAGTGTCTTCTCAAATATTTTTGAGTCCTCTGTGACTACAAAGTTTATTTCACGTACCAATTAAATTTTGATTAAAAAGTTTGCTCCTTTCAGCGAGAACATTGTTTTAGAATGCACTGCTATGGCGACAGTCAACGCAGTGCTGCCCCCAAATATCAATATGTAGAACTACGACATTTCACGTGTAGAGACAGAAATGGTGCTATTACACAATTCACGATTCATGTTTGCTAAAGTAGCAGACAGTGGGCAATATAATTGAGTAATCACTTTTATTGAAATGGTCTTGTAATTATTGGTGACTGAATGGCCGAATGGTTAAAATAATTACATTTCTTTTTAATTATAATTTAAATCAGTTTACAAGTTTACTTGAAGAAATTTAATTCGTGCAAAAAATTATGCAGTACATCAGTAAATTTTCATATTTTTAATATTTTATCATTTATTTTATATAACTGCTTTAAAGAAATGGTAATATAACAGTTTAGTCGAAGCAGAGTCGGTAGGTTGATCTACCGACTCTGGTCGAAGTAATTAGCAATTCTAGAAAGATCTATTTTTTAAATCTTCAACTCTTTTGCTATGGCATCATCACATGAGAAAGCACGGCTGACTAGAGCATAATTTTTATTCGCACGTGGCGACCGTGGAACCACCAAAGACCTCGTGCGTCGGTGCTTCTGATTGGTCGTTTTAACCGCCACCTTCTTTGTTTGTTTTGCACAAGCGCGGTCTTTTGGCTGTTTGGAGACAAGTAGAATTTTTGACGTAGTACAAATGGTAGGTAATCATATAATATAAACATAAATATCTAAAAAATGAGTGTAAGATTGAATACTTAAAAACCAGAAGTGCAGTCTTGTTCATCCACTTATGTTCAATTAGTCAACAATGTGGTTTTAAGACTTGTTTCATTGGGATTTTGGTGGATTTGACGTATCATTAGTTTTTGAATTTTTTCCTGCAAGATATTGACAGCTTTATAAGTATTTAATTTTACACTTATTATTAGATATTTACGTTTATATTACATGATTAATTATCATTTGTGCTATATGTGAACTCCACTTGTCTTAAACGAAACAGGGTAAAGGTGAAATGAACAATCAGAAGCACCGACAGTCGAGGTATTTGGTGATTCCACGTCGCTGCGTGCGGATTAAAATTATGCCAGCTATGGTACAAATCAAACCGGGCTGTTATAATTTATTGTGTCGAGTTGAATGTCGTTCGCAATCCCTTGTCAAATTGCAGTTTATGCCCTCTCCTAATGGGCAAACTTGTGGTGTTCACATATTCGTAATATTGTCTTTGTGTTTGGTTTCATGGGATACGCCAACGCAATATATGGACGAACTACCAGAAGAGTGCCTACCGGAAGTTTTTTTTTTTTTTGTTTTTTGAGAAATTTGCCCCTATTTAGATGTTAGACGTGTGAAGAAATCTGGTAAACCACACGTTGATCAGGAGCGAGCCCATGACCGCCATTGGTGGACTCTCGTCCTTTTGTTAACCAATCAACTACCATTAAAATTAGTTTTAAAAATCAACTGATCAACTAAAAATGAATTATTGTAGATTTTATAAATGCAAATTCTTTCGAATTTTTCTGTAATTTTAAATTTTATTATTTTTTCATTAATAAAAGTTTTATTTTTCTAGAAAAAACTTAAATTTCCAGCTAGGAAAAATTTTGTATTTCAAAAATCAGAGGTCGCTACAATCTGATAGCACTGCAGCAATTGAAGCGATCGTTGGATTAGGATATTTCACAGATCATATTAGAACGTTGCACCGCAAATAAGTTAAAGTGCTCTTGATGAACCATATTTCCTCTGAGGATTATTCCTGAAAGCCTTGAATTTGCACGTAAGTTGTCTTATAGGCTACGTTACTTCGATTTTATAGTTATGTTGATTATGCTTTAACTCCTGTTTAATTATTTGATGCGAGCAGGATGCAAGCACGTAATTGACATTTATTTATTTACGATTGTTTTCCAATCTTTTTCCTGTTTATCATTAATTCTTCTGATAATATTTAATGATAATTCTCGAACATTGTCAAGATATAACAAACGATTTTTTTAACAGTTAATACGTGTGTTTTCAGATACTGCAGAAGACTTCTAAGTTAGTCAATATTTAGGAATTAATCAAAAACGATGGACTTTTTAGATAATTTAATGGAAAAAAATATGTATGTAAATATATGTAATAATATTGTTTATGATGATGATGATGAAATGGTATTATTTAATGAAAATTTTATATTTATTGATTCACATATTATGATGCATATTAAAAAAATTAGAATGAATGCAGCAAATTAATTTGTTGGCGTTTTCTCCGGTTTCCACTTCATTTAATGTCTGAAAGTTCTGAAACATCCCATGCTGTTTGTTCATTCTCTCATAAATATTGTTTAATTGTTTACAGATTGCTGAATGGATTTGCTTTTAAAACATAAAAAAAGTCATTAATATTTTGACAACTTTATTTTATCTTGTTTTTATTTCGGTTTATTTTGTAAAATAGAGATCAAACTTCTGCAAATTATATGCATATTAATAACATATGTTGTTTACAGTTAATACTTTTCATCATTAATAAATATACAGATAAAATATATAAGCATTTATCAAAACACTTATCAATACTCACAATATATATATATATACTTGCGTATACGTATAAGAAAGAAGAAGTAGAATATAATGTTTTACACACTATAGAAAAAAACAAGTAAGTAACAAAATAAAAAAATTATTAAAATACCAGCATGCTAAAACTTCATGCACAATTTAATTGTTAGCAAAAAGTGAAAAAATTAAGTTAAAGTTATGTTAATGTAAAATAGTTAATATCATATACTTGTCAAATATATTGTAGATTAAAAGTTTAATAAGCATGGATGAAAGATAGCATTTCATTTCAGTAAAGTTTAACTTGCATGACAATAATGTCATATTATTGATTTTCAAGAGATCAAAAAAAAAAAAAACCTGATTAAACAGAAAAATGTCATATGAATATATCATTTTCCATGTATTCATGTTTGTATCTCATTTTCTCTTCTTGTTGTTTCTTTAATTTTTTTCTAAAAAAATTAAGTGTCAATAATTTATATTTTTTTTAGTAATTTATTTCAATGTTGCTTGATAAATCAAATCATAAAAGTTTTAGGTTTTTTATTATTATTATTATTTTTTTTCTTTTTACATCTTTCTGTTTTCTCAAATTATGATCCAAACAAATTTTAATTAACTATTGAATATTCTGTTATATATTAATATATGAAGAAAAAAATAACAGTTCTTCATTTTTAGCTATTTATTATATAGTTTTGCATTGTTTATTTTTAGGATTACTACCAAAATATTTTTTTAGTTATAATTTTTTTGTAAATGAATGAATAAATATAAATGCATATATCAAATACAATGAAATGATAAATACAAAATTATAGAAACAATATGTATGAATGAACATTTTTAGAAGCACAGAAATAGTATTAGAATCCCAAAGAGTAATTTTTTTGGCATTATGCAGAAGCAAGATAGCTGATACGCATATGCAGAGTATGTTACTTTGCCAAATGTGTTTAATGACATTATAAAAAACTTTGATATTATTTATCATATTGAAGTAATATGTTATATTTCTGTAAGCATTATGTAAATTAACAGTTCCTGAAAATTTTAATTTACTGGCAATGAATAAATTTAAAAAATTTTTCAAAATTTCTGTAGTGCTTTGGCTTCTTGGCTGTTCAGGATCTTATTCCTCAAATTATGTTCATATACCTAACTCAACTCTGTTCATATGTCAAGTGTTTTTCAACTAGGTTCATGAACCAGCAGAAACAATTATGTAATGTATCTGTTGACAAGTGTACCTTACCCTAAAAGTTGCCTCATTCTCACAAATTCAATTACATTCTCCTTCTTTCCTTTCACCCAGCACTCAAAAGATTAGTTGTAAATGATACCTAAGGTCCTTTTTCAAGAAATGAATTTAAAACCATCAATATATATATTTTTTTTACGTATATTGGAGTTATTTTATGACAGTTGTGTTGGAATAGTGGAACATCAAAAATATATAACTCAAGATAGAAAAGACCCAAAACTCACTAAATTGGTTATTGGAAACAATTAGGCTATGACCCTGATTTGAATAATACCTCCATTATTAAAACTTTTTGGATTATTAATATGCTATATTTTTGGGGAGCTCTCCATATATTTACTTCCAATCTTATAAACAAACCCACACTCCTGAATAAAAGCAGCAACTGAAACTTAAAACCAGCAGAAAAAAGTAACAGAACTAACATTTTCGCTCATGTTAAATGGGTATCTTTAAGCTAAATGATCCAACAGCTGTTAAAACAAAAGGGAATTGCTGTATAAATGTCAAGGAGAGATGATGTAAGAAAAAGAGGGAGTGGGGAAAGGAGAGAAAGAATATCTTCCATGCAGGAGAAAAGAATCTACATTGGGAAAGTTAATGGGGGTATTTTTTTTACCCTGATATAGATGGGCATTTCAACTGTGCACATTTCATATTTATAGCTCTATCCAGAAGCAATATTTCAGATATTTAGAGCAGGTAGAAATTTATAAGATTGCCCAAAAAAATACTGCCATTAACTTTTACAATGTAGATTCCTTCCTCCTGCATGGAAGACATTACACGAAATGTAAACTTTCTATCCTTTTTCCCACCCTTTCTCTTTCTTACATCACCTCCCCTCTTGACACTTGTATGGCAATACCCCATTATTTTAACATCTGTGGGGTCATTTAGCTTGAGGATGACTAACACAGGTGAAAACATTAGCTTTGATAGTCCAAAATGCATTTTGATTATTTCATGTTAATTGCTAATGTAATCGATTTTAATGTACACTCCTTCTTGTTTTTATTAAATGTACTCCATTGATACCTGAGTGTTTGTGCTTATTATCACTGTGTGACAAGTGGTATGTAGATATAATTTATTTTGTAAAACAATTACCCTATTATGCCACTAATTTTAATACTGTTTATAATAGTAACCCTTCATAATGTTACAAGGTAGCTTGATGTAAATCAAGCTACCTTGTAACATTATGAAGCCACCTTAAGCCTGTCTTCTCTACACCCATTTATTGTTCAATGATCATACCTTTATAATGGTTCCTTTGTCTTGTATAATTTTAAGTATTATAACCTTTTTATATGTATACCAACTGAAGAGGGACTATTCTGTTAGTCCAAAATGCATTTTGGTTATTTCATGTTAATTGCTAATGTAATTGATTTTAATGTGCATCATTCTTGTTTTTATTAAATGTACTCTATTAATACCTGGGTGTTTGTGCTTATTATCACTGATGTGATAAGTCCTTATTATCTACCTCACATTAGTGGATTTTTAATTAATTTAATTAGCTCTGTTACTTTTTTCTGCTGGTTTTTGTTGCTGCTTTTATCAAGTTTACCCAGTTGTGAGTGATTTTGTCCACACACTGTTTACTGACTTTTGGACTGAAGTACTCAACAACATATGACAATTTTCTTTCATACTGTTAGCAAAATATCAGTTAATGCTTTTGATTGCATTCCCCTACATACACTTGCTAATACCTTTTCATACATTATTTACTTATTTTTTATACATTATTACAATAAACACCAACTGTACCAGAAAACTGGAACTGTACATGTAAATAAGAAATTACACCTCAATGCAAAATTTCCAGCAAAGAAATTCAATATTCTAATGTTTTCAGCCACTATTTCATGGGCTTTCGTCAGGAACTGTAGAATGGAAAAACCATTCTATGAACAGAATGCCTTTGCATTTGAATATTAAAAGTTTCAAATACATTCCAATAAAGGCTGTGAGGTATGTTATATGATGTATATTATGAGTCTAGATAGTATTTCCATGCATTTGGTACATGAATGTCATCCGTGTTGATGCAGGCTCCATTTCTGTCCGCCCTGTAGATCTCTACAGCTTCTAACGTTCTAATGTTTTGCAGGTCAAAAACCCTGTATTAGGGTAGCTTGGTCCCAACAGGGAAATCCCTGGATTGCTGGTGTAACATGCCAGAGCTATATTAATGTTTTCTTTTTGTATGTCATATTTGTGATCCTTTAACCTGGCCTACAGCAATCTGTACGTGGATCCTATATACCAATGGTGGGCAACCCCCGGTCCGCAGGCCAGCTACGGCCCGCGAAAAGTTTCTATTCAGCCCGCGAGATGTTTAGAAGAAATTATAAATAAATATTTTTTGATGTAATTCGTCTAGTTTAAATTGAATATTATTTTCTGAAGTGTTGTTGCAGCAATGACAGGAAAAAATAAGGGAGTCATTTCCTTATTCAAACAAAAAATGGGAGAACAGAATTTTTCTAAATAATTTAGATCTCATCGCATCATCCATCAAGAAAATCTATGTGCAAAAGCTATGCATGAAAAAACGTAAAATTTATTCTGGCCCATGTTATAAAAAAGGTTGCCCACCCTTGCTATATACATTACTATTCTGTGGAACCTATCATCCTGTAGTGGAATTAGTATACTCCTGGTGCTTTAGCATCCGCAGTGCCATCCTTTGCGTTAGACAGAAGGTGGAAAACGTTGGATTTTCTTTTGTACATTACGTGTATGTTTAAATCTTTTGCAATCCTTCTGTATAAGTCATGAAGGAATGGTTCGTGGCTTAGGACTACCCAATTAGCTTCTGTTTTGTTAATGTTGATATTGGTGTTGGATGACAACAAGATGTTTGGACAATAGTGTGTTGATAAATGTGTGGTTGTATCCATGGTTGGGTGCAATATGTGTCAAATGTTCTAGTTCCTTGCTGGT